GGCCTGGGCTACGGTCAGTCGTGACGTGTTGCAGCAAAAACTGCACCTGAGGATGCTCAGAGTTAACCTGTGGCTCCGCCTCGTCATTCATTTCACACACGTGGAGCTCCGTCTTTCAGAGAATCCTGGTGCTTTGACACACACACACACACACGCACACACACACAGAGTGTCTGATTCATGCAACTCAACACAGAGGAGTTCGGCTACGAAGAATATAAAGAAAATAAACAAATCAATTTCCAGATTTCTTGGTTGTAACATCTTCTGAAAGTGCTATAAAAATCTATTTTTTTTTGTGGTATTTAACAAAAAAAGGAGAAACGACGCTGACAAACAAAGGTCTTGAGTGTTAAAGAAAGACAAAAGAAAAATAATTTGGGAATGAAGGCCACAAAACACTCCATAAAAGTTTCCAAAAAATATTCAAGGAGTCAGAAGAAAAGTCTTTGTTAAGTCTTAGAGATTAAACAAATTCCTTAGAGTTTTTTTAGAACAGGGGTCCCCAACCCCCGGTCCGGGGACCAATACCGGTCCGTAGGTCGTTTGGTGGGACACAGTGAAAAAATGTATTTACTTTTAACTTTTTTTTACTAACTAATTTCCTTTATAAAAAAAGAAATCAATCATATCCCTTTACTGTTTCCATTCAAAGATAATCTGTCGATGTTTCAGAACAACAGGTCAAAGGTCATTCACACTCTGATACTGACAGAATAAAGACTAAAAGATAAAAATTGTAATGATCCTTTAACGACGGCCACACCGGCCCATTGTACCGGTCCTTGGTACAAAAAAAAAAATGTCGGGGACCGCTGCTTTAGAACCGGCTGGCACAACTTCAGAGAATGATGGTGAGTTTACTGAGCTCCAGCTAATCTCAGAAGAACTGAAAGAACGGTGGAACATGTCAAAGGTCGCCACAGTTATAAAAGCAATTCAAATATTCATGCCCAAAAAAAAATAAATAAATAAAATAAGAAAGAAAGAAAGAAAGAGAGAAATCATCCAGACATTCCCATTCCTGATGTGGAACAGACCCCGACATGTTCCCGTCCTCAGGGGGAACAAACACCCGTTTGGGCCAGTGTGGGGTTTTTACTGGTCCACCCTGCAGACGGCAACATTTAATATGTGTGTGTGTGTATGTGTGTGTAGCACATTTGTCTCGAGCCCAAGTTTGTTTTTGTTTTTTTGGAGTGTTTTGCAGACATCAACTTTCAAATGAAATGTGTTTTTTGTTGACGTCTGGTTGAAGAGCATCACCACAGGTTAGTTTTCACTGCACGTCCACAACCAGAGCCAACTCCTCTGGGAATCTCTCTGTGCTCTTGTTGTGTGTTAGAGGTGTGTGTAGGTGTGTGTGTGTGTGTAATATAAGGCTCTGGCATCTTTCCTGGTGACTGTATGAGAATGTGCCGCTGTGCCTGGTGTCATGGTTTAGCAAACACAGTTACTGATGAACATGCATCACTGGGGCATCTGCAGTTTAGAAATTCTGGGCGACACTGTGGCAGCAAACGACGGTGGCTCAACCTGAGGCACCTGTAAGATCTGCCCATTTCATATTAACACACCTGCGTTGCTTCAGAGTCTCAGATTAGTTCATCAATTTTTCTCAGTGTGATTGTATTCTCCCAGAATTCCTATGGTTTATTGTTCTCCAATAAGCAAGAGGCACTCGTTATTTTTGTTGTTGTGTTTTTTTTTTGTTTGTTTTTTTTCACCATGACAACCACATTCTCGTTACCTTCACGACATGATCTAGAGGAACAGAGAGGTGAGGCTGGGTTTGACAGAAGGATGATGGAGAAAAATGGGACAAGATGGAAAAGACACTAGAGAGGGTGGAGGAGGAGGAGGAGGAGGAGTGGGTGAGTAAGGGCTCGAGGGGGAGGAGGAGGAAACACCACAGAAACAGTGACAGAGGAGGTGGAGGGCGACTGATAACAGGAAATGAAGGAGGAAACATTTTAAAATAGCTACATCGGAGGGTTTGACCAATCAGTATCCACGGTTACAATCTCGACCTATCACAGCTCATCCAAAAATGCACTGGCAACCAGAAGTTTTCTGCTGTTGTCCTCCCTACACAGCTGGACTTTAAATCTTTGTACCGTATTTTCTGGACTAGACATCACACTGGGGGAAAAATAATATCAGTTGAATTAATAATTAAAATTAATTATAATAAAATATATTAAAACAAAGTCGTCAATCGCATTCCTCGTCACTGAATCCATTCGTCCTCGGTGTCGCTTCTAAAGCAACGCCCTCAGATCCACAGATTAATTTTTTTTTTTAGGGAGGAACTTTATTTATTTTTTGAACTTTTTTGAAATTAAGAAAGTCTTAAGTTTAGTTTATTCAATTTATCAGCAGTGCAGTAGCAGTGCCCAGCTGTCACAAATGTATATGCTGCCCTCTTGTGGCCATAGAGGATATCAGGCACATTTTTTGTAATACAAGTGCAGGAGGTGCCAAACAATTACAAACAGTGTGATTTATACTCCAGAAAATACAGAGTGAGTTATCATTTCATCCTGTTCATTACTGCCTGGAGATTTTATATGATTCATTAAAAAAAATAAAAAAATAAATTTTCTCTCTGTCAACGTGTTGTTTTTTTTTGCAGTACTGCCCACTCTGAGTCTCTGGGGGGAAAAAAAAATCCTTCTCTATGCAGACGATACAACACAGGTTTGTGCACAGCTGTATCACACACTAACAGTGTAACACAGACACACACGTACACGTAGACGCCACTCTGTACCCAAACACCTGCTTTGGTCAAATAATAATAATAACGACACCAAACAGAACACTACAGAAACTGATCAAAAACAAAGCTGCGAGGAAAAAAAATAAGAGGCGTGGCTTCAGAATTGAAGTGTGTCAAATATCCAATCAAACGGATCGATCAGACTACGGTCCTGACTGTTGAGAGTTATTGATCAGTATGTGCACAGGTCAATACAAAAATAAAGTCACAATGCACCAAACACAGTCTGTGGTCACTACAGCAACAGGACATGCAGGTCAACGCATGGCTGGTTGCTTGAGGTGACGAAACAAAAAAAAAAAAATTGCCACACAGGCAACCCACACAGGCAATCAATCGCCACAGCAACCCAAACACAAGCCAACCAATCAACTTACAACAATGCGAGAGGAAGGGGGGTCGGGGCTTTATCGCTCACTAGGCAACCATTGCCATAGTGATGGCGTCCTGGTGAATTATGATTGGACGGGAGGGTCTTGGGTGAGGTAAGTTGCCGTTTCAGGAAAAAGATCAAAACAGCAGAAAATAAAATGTATTAAAATGAAAGGATTGAGAAGTAAAAACAAAAAAAAAATGAAAAGGAAAACAAGATTTTAGTATTTTCACTTCTCCAGAGTAAATTAAACTGTGTTTAATACGAGTGACCTGAAGTTTATTCAGTATTATGTACAGACCATAGATAAGAACTGGACAGAGGTACGTACTGTACAGGGGGGTTAGTGGGTGAAGCCGCAGGAGACCACCAGAAATGTCCCGCTGGACTCAGTTTGTCTTAAACATCAAAAATGCTAAATATATATTAATTTATAAAAACCTAAGTAATATTTAAACTACTTCATAACACAATAAAAATATCTGGGCCTGGTATGAAAACTGAGTAAATATTTTGGACAGCATATGTGACATGCTAATATGTTCAATCTACCTGCAGTACCTTCGGAATCCACTAGTCAAATGCTCCGTTGTATTGGACACCACCGTTTCTATTGGAGCGCTGATTGACAGGAGGATTGTGCAACAGTTACTTGGTTATAGTAAACCTTGTCTCCTATTGGACATTCACCTGTCAATCACAGACAGTGTCCAATCACATTCACTCTCCTATTTCTGTCCATATATGAGTCAAATTTAGAAAACTGACATCACAGTCTGTAGTCACCATGAGTCAAAATTGGAAAACTGACATCACAGTCTGTAGTCACTCATCACTCCCACGGCTTCACCGCCCCCCAGTGGCACGACTCCCTCCAGTTCTTATAAAGAGTCTACGGTCACGTTTACGTTACGGTATCTTTCTTTCTCCATGGAGTTAGCATTACTGTGACTAAGCTAACGTTACCTTTCCTGCCCGTGTTTCACACTAACGTTTATGGCCCCGTTCTCCAACATACAGCGCCCCCACCCCTGACGTTTGGTTATTCACTGCCTGGTCATGGTCGACTCACCTTTCTAATTTTTTTTTAACTCCTCCTCCTCGCTGTTTCCACTCAGTATGGCCGATTAGCATCTTTGGGCCTTTTGAGCTGCACCTTCAGTCTCTTCATGCCGATCTGGAAACCGTTCATGGCCTGGATGGCCGCCTGGGCGCTGGCTGGGTTGTCAAAGCTTACAAATCCTAGAAGGGAGAGAGTCAGAGAGAGAGAGAGAGAGAGAGAGATGCCTCACGTCAGTGTTTTTTCATATCAACCCAGGACAGATGAGTGACGTGAACATCACTTTCCCCTTCAACACATCTCTGTCAGATCACACCTTTCACTGCTGCCTGAATGATATGGCCTACTGAGCACAGATCAATAGAACGCAGCAGCTCTGCTGTTAAAACAACTGGGTTCTATGTCAGTTTTATGCAGATGATACACTGGTTCTACTGGTTGTCTTTTAAGGCATTTTCATTTATCGAATCAGTTCACTTCACACTGATGACAAATGGACAAAAATAAGGTCCAGATTCTCAGAAGATTCCTTAACTGTGCCTCGGGTTGATGTGCTAATGACGACATCACAAAACGAATTGAATTATTCCACATCCAGAACTATTCCATTGATAAAAAAAAAAAAAAAAACCAAAACAGTTTTCCTTAATACAAATCAATTATATTCTTTGTTTGACTACTTTAGATCAACCGAAAACCATTCGAAATATTTTGGTCTATGTTTGTAACATCATTAAAACATTTAATCATTTTGCCTCTTAGATTGAATGAAGCCTGGATGTTGTTTTCGTTTTTCGTTCTTTGGCTTTTTAATAAATTTGGACAAATTTATATATATAAAAAAAATTGTTTTCATTCAAGTGATAAAAAAACTGTACAAGCATTTTAATGAATCATGTTAGTATTTAAAGTAAAATTATTTTTATTTTTGTCTATTTTTGGTACGACTCCATTAGAGCTACAGCCCTGTGTCAAACTCATTAGTTCTGTTTTTCCTGTATTGACTACATCTGCTCCACTTCCTCCCTCTCGTTCTGCCCCGTCTGTCTGTCTCACCGAAGCATTTGCTCTGGTTGGTGGCACGGTCCACAAACACCTTAGCCGAGATGACATTGCCAAAGGGCAGGAACATCTGTAGCATCTCAGAGTCGCTAAACTCCTGCGGCAGGTGGTAGATGAAGATGTTACACCCCTCTGGACCTGACACACACACACACACACACATTAGATGGATTGTAATGAGTGACCTTCGGGGGTGGAAACCTTGTGAAAAACAACTTTAAAATGAAGAGAGGACGATTGCCCCAGACAGACAGACAGGAAGTCCCATCACCTTCTCTCTGCTGCTGTTGCTGGGGTTGTTGGTGTTGCTGGGCAACCAGCGTTGGCTGCTGTGGAAACGGCTGTCCGACCAATCCGTACGCAGCAGGGTACGCCGCTATTGGAAGAGACAAGGGAGTAACAAAATCTGATTGGGTAAAAACAACAGGTGGCAACACAGAAGTGCCCAATGGTGCACTTTCATTAAAAGTAAAATGTCTCCCGGTGAAGGTGAAAACTATTAAGTGTAACAGCTGAATGGAGCGCGGCTGCGAGACAATGACAGTGGCGAGCTGAGGCTGCCGTGCACAACAGCCTTCATTACAAAGCGGGACAAGCGGTGTCACGGCGGGGTCAGCCGCATTAATCATCGTCGGCAATTAATATGTGTCTCGTGCCTCGATTACATCAGGAAACACCAAAACAAAATGAATGCAATCAATTGTCCTGTAATAACGCCCTCCCCTTGGCACGAGGACGGTCAAACCAAGGACGTCTTACGGACGCCCGTGTTCTCAACCTGAACCTGAGATTTCCCGATGACGCCTTTATTTTCACACTGACTATAACACTATTAAAAATACACATAAATATTATAAAAAAACAACAACATCCATAACCATCACAACACACGTGATGGATTTAAAACAGGAGATGTCGCTCAGACGTGAGTTTATTTTAATGCTGTGTAGATCACTGAGATATATTAGGGCTGTCAAACCTCAAACAAAAACCCATTTTTACTTGATTCATCACAGGGAAGCCGGGAACTAATCACAATTTATCACGACAAAACCAGATAAATCAACATTCCTAAATATGAACCATGAAGATTGATAAAAATATAAATTTTGTTATAAAAGATACTTTGACATTTTAATACTTTTCTAATCAAATTGATATATTTAAATATATATGTATATATATATTTGTACCTTCCAGTGGACTCACCACCTGCAGAAAGGTTTAGGGGGGTTGGTACGGTGCAATGTGATTTGGGTGGCGACTGCTGCCCCCGCGACCCGGTAACGGATAAGCAGATAAAAATGGATGGATGGATGGATATATATATTTGTTTATATATATTTAAATATATATGTTTATATATATTTATATATACATGTATGCATTAGGTGAAGGATCATACATAGTTGATGGTCTGCTCAGTGCTTCGGTCTGTCCCTTCACCCACCTGTGTAGTGCTGCATACCAGCGTAGGCCTGCTGTAATGGGTCCAGTGCCGCTGCAGGACTTTGAGCTGAGGGGTGAAAGATAAACCGTCGGTCATCGGTCAGAGCAATAATCTTGATCTCCTGTGTGTGCGTCTACGTGTCTGACTGTGAGTACCTTGGTACGCGTGAACACCATTGGTGTATAATGTCTCCGCTTGTTGACCGTTGGTCGGGCCTGCAACGCTGCCGTAACCGTTCACTCCTATTGGCGGCGGCAGAGCTGGCACGGGCGTCGCTGCGATAGTTGGTGGAGTGTTTGTTCCTACAGACATAAATCACATCAATCATTAATCACAGCGGGACAACAGACACAGAGAGGCTGTCTCTCTCACTGCAGCTCTTCTCTCTCTCTCGTTCTCTTTTTTCCTTTTCATCTGTTTTTAAAAACAGATGAAAACAGATGTGGTTTTTAAAGCAGTGTCGACTGCAGGCAATGTTATTTGGATTTTGGAAATTGAAGATTCATGAAATTTACAGAGGTGGATGCTTCATCGCTTGTCAAGGGCAAAGATAAGGCTGCCGGCTGGAGGCAGTTATTTTACTCTAAGATACTGTACATTGTGAGACATTGACAAAACTGGTTCTCTATCAAAGGAAACATTTTCCAAAGACATCAAGAGACACTGTGTTAAACTTGTAAAAATTCAATTAAAATCCTTTAAAAAAAAAAGAGACACTAGAATTTCTAATTCTGATGCACAATGATGGCCTCGCCTGCTTAAATACGTCATTAAATTAATTTTTATTAGCGTTAAACACGACTACTCCACAACTCTTTGCATCAGTGTTTTCTCTCCCTCTGTCTGTTGTAATTCATCATCTGTCCAGCAGGGACTTCAGGACATGTAGTTTGTCAAGAATCTACTTTGATGAAGCGTCAAGAAAAACTTCTGGACAGAGTAGAGACAGACATTCTTCTCTGGGTGTGGGTGTGTGTGTGTGTGTGTGTGTGTGTGTGTGTGCGTACCCGATGACGGTGTGATGGGTGTGATAGGCGTGGCGATGATTCCGTTGGCATTGAGTGCCGCCATCTGCTGCATCTGTACGGCAGCAACTGTTGCCACAGGAGATAAGTATGCTGACTGGGCAACCAGGGCCTGCTGTTGGACAAGCTGTGGACGGAGATGGAGGACGGAAAAAAGAAGAGGAGGAGGAAGAAGAGGGGTGAAGAAAAAGGAGAGTTAAGCAGAGAGGGAGAAACAGAGTGAGTCAAAGAAGAAGAAGGAGAGAGGGAGAAGAGGTGGGGGGGGGTAGAGGGGACGGGGTGAAGGGACGGACAGGAGAGGAAGGGACACAGAGAGGGGGTGATGCAGAGACAGATGAATAGAGATCTAATTACAAGGCCATTATGTCCTAAGTCAGTAGGTTAATGGCTGTGTGTTGTGGGGAAACTAATGGCAGATGATGACTTTATGTTCTGTTGTCTGTGGAACACGATGAGCTCCAATTAGAACGCTGATCGTCCTCTTCAAACATATGACATCCTTTCATGAGCACATGACCACTCCACTTATACATTCACTCTGTGTGTGTGTGTCAGCATGTGTGTGTGTGTGTGCTACAGTAATCCTCAGTGCCTATAAGCAGCGCTTGCCTGTGCATTGACCGCCTGTGTGTAGGCATTGTAGGCAGGGTAGTTGAGGGTCATGGGGCTGAAGATCCCAAGCTGGGAGGCCACCTGCTGCATCCTCCTCAGCCCCCGCTCCTTCTCTGTGTCGGCAAACTTCACCACCAGACTGGACGACGCCCCCTGTGAGAGAAGAAGAGGAAGAGGAAATAAAGAAACACGTAATGATATGAGGTTTTTTTTTTTTAATGGGACTCATGTTCATGTTTATTCATTTCATTAATTCCCTCCATCCATTTATTTCTTGTTTTACGAGTCACTCTGGGCCGTGGCCCGTAATAAAACGTGGACTGGATCAAAGTTAATGTAACTTTAAATTACTCACAATATTGCCTACATGAAAATTAAACTCTCCCCTCTGACATATTCACGCGTCTACCGAGGAGCCTTTACGCTACGTATGGACGCCTCCTCCACTCTTCCTTCGCGCTCAACTTACGGGCATCGTGCGGCTTCCGTGTAAGCTGTTGATGGCGGCCTGAGCTTCGGCGTGTCCTTGGAATTTCACAAACGCGCAGCCTGTGATTAAAAAAACAAAACAAAACACGCTCGTTAAAAAAGTGTGATTTAATGAAGCAGAAGTCAGGGACATTTTTTTGTTTTGTGGTAGGTCTCCTACCTTTGCTGGTGCCATCTGGTCCCCTCAACACAGTGCACTCGTCTATGCTGCCAAAAGGCTCAAACAGCCTCCTGACATCCTCATCGCTCTGCTGCTTTCCCAGCATGCCCACAAACAACTTCCTGTCCTCTGTGGGAACAAGGACGCGAGGGATTTAAAAAGTGGTCACACCTCTGCTGTCCAGACTGTAAACACGGTGTCGACAGACAGGGATGTGTCCGTGAAGGCATGTTTCTTTTTTCTCTCTCTCTCTCTCTCTCTCTCCACCAGGGAGCAGTGTTGCCCAGTGAGAGAAGGTATACAAGGCCAGGAATCATTTCATTACAGATCTCATTGACACCTGACTGTGTTGTTGTATTTGTTCTCTTTTTGTTCCTGGTTCAGTCAAGGTGAACTAACACAAACAGACGTCTGGTCTTAAATAAATGAAATGAAATATGAGGTTTTGACTAATGTTAGGATGAAGACGTTGATAACTGCTGGTTAATTAACTATCGATCAATAGTTGAAGTGTTAAAAGAAGCTGTGGAAAAGTGTGTGTGTGTGTCGGTGTGTGTGTGTGTCTTACCTCCTCTCCCCTCGCTGTCAGCAGGTTTTACCTGGATCGGCCGATTCATCTGAGGAAGAGACACAGTTTTTACTCAAGGTGTTTTTTGGTCAATCAGATTAAAAAAAAAGCAATTTGTTCATTTTAAAATATGAATATAAAACATGTCATCTGTTAACACTACTGTGTTGTAACAGTCCCTCTGGCAGTAAAGCACCAAACAGCATCACGTTTATGAGTCAGTAACAAAGTGACATTTATACATGAACTAATAAATCTGTTTAAAATCAATTATTTTTTAAGTAGAAAGTGTGTGTGTGTATGTGTGTGTATGTGCACAACACTTTTCAGAGGTCAGTTCATCACTCGTTATCTGTCACACTCTCGTCAACTCTTTTCAGACTCAGACACTCGTTATCTGTCACACTCTCGTCAACACACACACACAAACTCTTCTCTCTAGGAACTTTATCCAAACCAAAACGTAATCCTCAACATCGAGCCTCTTCTACCATCATCATCATCATCATCATCATCATCATCATCATCATCATCATCATCATCATCATCATCATCATCATCCTCATTTCTAAAGCTCTAATTATTTAGGACCAGGTTCTGGTGTCGATCCTGGTTCTTCTAATAACATCAGTAATAACATCAGTAATAACATCAGTAACAATGTGACATAACCGTTACTTCATCCTGGTTTTAACCAGAGACCTGGTCAAACCCCTCACTAGAACCAGGATGTGGTCTTCATAAAAACTCCAGCTCTCGACACAAACACGATCACAGACGCCATGAGATTGAGAATGTCCTGTAAGCTGCTGATCTGGATTACAGAAGAACCGAGGATTAGATAAGGGACAAGAGTGTGTCTAGATGGAGCAGAGTCAGGGGGGGAGGAGAGGGGGGGGGAGAGGGGGGAGCAGAGGGGGAGAGAGTTTGTAGTGGGATAAAATGGCAAGTGTGTGAGGAGAACAGGCGCAGCTAAAAATAAAATAAAAAAAAAGATGGAGAATGTGAGACAGAGAGAGAGAGAGAGAGAGAGAGAGAGAGAGAGGCCTGGGGGACCCCGAGTGACTTCGACCGACTAAAAGGGCAGGTGGACGGCCGAGAGGAACCCGGGGAGTGAATGAAAGTGCTGGAAAAAAGGAGATTGAAACGGAGAGGCAGAGAGTGGGTGGATGAAAGCAGAGCTGCCCCAGAGAGCGTGATTAAAAAAGAATAGAAAGGGAGAAAAGGGGGGAGGGAGGGAGGAGGGGAGGGGGGGAGGAGCGGGGCGTGATTCAGTCGTGACTCGCTCTGTCTAAAAAATGTCAGGACTACAGAGATTGGTTGCCCACGGCGTTAATGCATGCGTGCGCACGCATGCTGTGAACAGCTCCGACTACACATCTGCACGCACACACGCAGCAACACACTGCTTAGTCACAGACGCTGAGGCCGAAGACAGAGTGTTGATGCCACAGAGGTGGGGAGGGGAGGGGGGGTCAGGAGGTGTGGGGGAGGGGGGGGGGTCTTGAGAATAATGACAATGAAAAATAAGCCACAAGGAGAGGAGAGGAGGCAGACGAAGACGAAGATGAAGACGGAAGAGGAGGAAGTCACAATGATGTGAAAATGAAAAAACAACAACAAAAAAACAATAAAATGAGTCCAATAAACCATAGAGTTTCTTCCTTGTTTTTGATTTTCAATACAGTTTGTCAAATTATTTTTTGTGGTGACAGATTGAAGCTTTTTTTCTTTCTTTGCTCATCAGACGTGTGAGCAGTAAAGGTCGAGCCCAGGGGTGTTCAACATGTGGCTCCTCAGCTCACGTACAGCCCCCCCTTTGCAATGCCTCCCTCTCCCTTGTAATTGTCCAAAGCCTACATAGTTGTACTAACTACGTAGTATTACTACATTACTTAAAGGTTGGAACATTGTTTTTTACACTATACTGCCATCATTGAAACCTCGTTGTGTTGAATTGACTGGTGTTAAAGGTCACTGACCCTTTGGTTCACGATGTTTATCAACATCACTCAGAGACAGACTGGGGAACAAAAATTGTGGTTGAAGTAAAAGTGATAAAAAAAGGGAGAAAAAGGTGAGGAAGACAGAGAGAAGCAGAGAGTGGTCCCACTGGGGCGTTAAGTCAATGGGGAAGAGATGGGAGGAACAGAGCAGAGTGTGGTCCCACTGGGGCGTTAAGTCAATGTAATGAAGCTGGTAATTGAGGAGAGGGCAGAGCAGAGAGAAAGACTGATCCATACGTGTGATTCATCAGCTCTTAGCTGTCACCACAGAGCCATTCATCCCAGACGTCCGTGGACATACGTTCCTGGCAGACACAAACACATCTGTATGGGCGTTCACACCAAACACACACACACAGGTGCACAGAAAACACACACTTCCTTCCGTGTGTTTTTCAACCTAAAGGCTTTATTGACCTCAGCTGTCAACTCTGACTTAAACCCAAAGCAAACACAAAGGTTCACACAACAGAACCAGTACAACCTTCAATTTATACTCTTCATCCAACCATCCATCCATCCATCCATCCTTCCATACCTGGGTCCATCCATCCCATAGTTTATCTCTTCTATCCATCCTCCTCTCATCCAACCATCCACCCATCCATCCATCATATCCTGCGTGCCGTTGTTATGGCTGTCCGTCCACACTGTCATCCATCTTGTGCTATCCACCCATCGATCTGTCCCGTCTTGTTCATTGATTCTGTGCTGTGTTGTACAGCGGGCTGATCGTAGCCAGATTTGTGTCCACTAACCCTCTCTCTATCCTTCCATCCATCACCTCTTCCATTTCTCCCTTTATTAGGCCTATTCAAGCTCATCCTTGGCTAATGAGGCTCAAACTATGGCTTATCAATCAAGTGAGTGCACGGCCGACCCGTGAAGAGGTATTGACAGAAGATAAATGCGCCGTTGCACGTGAGGAAAGATGAGCGGATGAAGACGAGCAGCTGCTCCAGAGACGTACGCGCGCGCACACACCGCCTGTACAAAGACAATGCGATTGCATCGGAAAATTGGCATGGCAACCGGCTGGTTGTCATGGCAATGGTATGACGGCACACTGGGTAGGTAAACAAAAACTCTGGTCGCCAAGGACCACTGCTGTGCTCTTTGGAGTGGTTGGCCGACTGTACACCGTAGGTTCACGCTGCTAATAATGTTCAAGATGAGAGACAAATGATCAGGGAGTGTCAGTGAAAAAAGGTTTGAGAACAAGGGAAATGACCAGAACAGGGAAAAAGAATGTGATAAAAAAAAAAAAAAAAAGGAGTTGGAGGAAGTCAGAGCAGAGAGAAGGTAATTAAAATTTCCACCAGCCTTAGAGAAAAATGCAAATAATCTACAGTCCCTTCTAGTGGGTTCCCAGCGCTCCCCTGTGCTGCTTTTTTTTCCTTTCTTCAACACACACACGAGCAGTCACTCACTCCGCTCGAGTCAAATCATTCTCTAATTACTCACGTTCCAATTAAGACTTAATTAACGCTAACCATCTGCAAAGGTCTACACGTCGAGTGCAGCGGCACGCCTCCATCCGTCCTGCTGCATACTAAAGAGAAGAAGGAGCTCTCGCTCTGAGGCCGAGTTCCTGCAGCTCTGTGGAAAGTGGATTCCCAAAGCAGAGGGGCCAGATATGAGGAGTGTGATGCTGTGTGTGTGAGTGTGTGAGTGTGTGAGTTGTGTGTGTGACTCACACTCAGTGGAAACACTTCCCTCTCATACACGCATGGCCAGACTCGCATGCAAACACACTTCCATTTGCATGCCGTGGCGCTAACGTAAAAATACACAGTCTCCTGTCACTTAGTGGAAACACACTCGACAAAATCTTCATAGAAAAGCACCCGTCTCTGTGTATGTGTGTGTACAGATACACACACACAGAAAAAAAAAACACACCACACATTCCACACACATGCAGTTAATCTTACTCCCTGCAGTAACGCAGAGAGGATTGTGCCAGGATTAGAGGATATTAAATCCGAGGATTATCCAATCGAATTGTATTCTATCCCCCTCACACAC